ACTACAGGGAAGCACCAGCTAATTTAAATTTTTTTTTTGTCAAGATGGGATTTCATTATGTTGCCCAGGTAGGTCTCAAACACCTGGGCTCAAGCAATCCTCCCAGCTTGACCTCTTAAGCTACTATGCAGACTTGAAATGCAGAATCATGAACCTTTCTACTGCAGACCCCAAGAGTCAGAATCTGCAGTTTGATCAGATCCCTAAGTAATTAATATACATACTTCAGTTTGAGACGTTCTAAAGGATTTCTGGAAGTAGTGACTCTTGAATGTTTTAAGAGAGCAGATTGACTTGGTTCAGCAGCTCAAATGATACTAAAGGGAAATTCAGTTACCTGTGAGTTTCTTAAACACTGGTATCTTATCACATTGTAACCACTTTTATAACCCCTTTGACCTTGTTAAATTTATAATGGGAGTTCAAGGTGGCAAGGGTGCTCCTGCCAATGGTCCCTATTCAGTGAGGTACTGTGGAAATTACTGTTAATGAATGAATGTTATAGAGGCAGCCAATGAATTTTAGGAACACGTAAATGATTTTTAGAGAAGTGGGCAAAGCTGGGCATGACAGAACCTGTCAGAGACAAACATATGAGTTAGAGTGAGAGAGATGGATGAGCAGTTCCTTCCAGGTAAATGGGGACGTCATTTTCCATTTAAGTCATGCGCTGCTTGGCATTTACCACTCCTTGGTTTCCCAGTTTCCAGGTTTAAGACAACTGGAATTCTCTGTTTCAAATGCTCTGAAAAGTACTGAGGTTCTATTTTCTATTATCATTTCTGTCTCATCATGATTGATTGATTGAATAGTTGATTGATCTACTTATCTGCAGTGTACAAAGTATAATGCACATAAATTGCATCGAGCTCAATTACTATTCCCACTTTACAGTAGGGGTATGAGGGACCCACCTCTTCTGTCCAGTTCCCAGATGTTTCATCAGTCCCCACCCCAAATGCAAACATGTTTTAACACATGCAGCCCACAGACCTAGAAATAAGACATATCCTTAGCAGTCAGCATGTAGAGGAAGGCATAAGTGTCTTTTTCATAGGTGTGTCAGAGTAAAAATGATGATCACAATAATAAAAACCACAGAAAGATAAAGCCTATGTGACATTTGCCATGTTCTCTTCCCCTGTTAATGCATTCATTCCTGCCAATGACCCCTGAGTTAGACTGTGCCATTATTTCCATTTCATACTTAAGGGAATTGATGTGCACCCCACTCCTACAAATAGGGAGGGCAACATCCATATGAGGTTATGCGGCCTTGAGATTAAGACCAATCAATTCAGGGGGGAAAATGTACTTGCTCTGAGAAGTCCATCAGCCCTCTTCTGCCTTGGTCAACATAGGTAGCAGGGAAAGGAAGTGCGGACCCGGGCTGCAGAGCCCAGGCTCAGAGTCAGGCAAGCCTGGAGTAGAGCCTGGCTCCACCCTTCCTGGGCTGTGGGATCTCAAAGAGCCTCAGTTCCCACTTGCAAAATGGAGATAATCACAGCACTGATTTCATAGAGTTGTAAGGATTATAAGGATTCATATCCACTAGGTCCTACATGCAGTGGATCCTAATAAGGGGTTGCAATTTATTTACTCCTTCGCAGGCTATAAAGTAATGGGGTTTCAGTGATTTTGAGAAGGAAATGTTCTGGATCTGCCTATTTACTAGGCCAGTATACATTTTCCTTGCATACATTTTCTACTTCCTGCAACCATCCTACAACGGTCCTAGCATTAATGCCCTATAATGTTTCTGCCATTCTCTCTGATACAGATGGCTATTCATGACCAATGTCTTGTGGATTCAGTGGAGGTTGAATTAAGCCCTTTAAACTGTCACTTTGATTTTTCATCTGTTACATAGCCCAAGGGTGCTATAGACAAAATGGAAATGGAGACTGTGTATTCAGGGAACATTTACAGTTTCAGTGCCCAAGATGAGCCTCTTTTACTTATTTGATTAGAATTCACCATTGGCCTTAGTTAGATTTTAAGCAACCATGGTTACTCTTAAAAAAAACGGAAACTGGTTACATAGATGCTGAACAAGTATGATCAATGTAATAGTTCATATCCAACCACCAAAAGAAGCCCTCCTTAATTCTTTTGTATGAATTCTCTATGCGTTTTATGTGTTTTCAGCAATAAAAGGAGATACCAGGGAGATAAGAAAGGAAGGAATGATCCCTGGATTTGTTTAGATGGGGAGAAACAGAAACATAAATATACAGAGACTATCAGAAAATAATTAAGTCATAGTGAAAAGAGAATGTGTTATGACGTGGTCCAGAATGCAAAACAGTAAGGAGGAAGAACAGAATAGAATAATCAGCTCTGAGAATCTTGAGGAAAATGTTGGCAATGTGGATAAAGATTGCCAAATGATAATAATGGTAACAGTTAATTCTGTGAATTATAGAGCTCTTTCTACATGGCAGGAACTACCCTATGTATTGTACATAGGATTGGTACCGTAAGAGGCTATTTATTTTGTTATTCTTATTTTACTGAAGAATCTGAAGTTGTTAGAGATTAAGGAATTGTCCATGTTTGCACAAAGAATAAGGCATAGAGTCAGGATTCCGACCTAAGTCTGGCTCCAACACATGTTCAGAAAAAGCAGGAAGTCTGCTGGGGAGAACAGTGGCAGAAAGGTCAGAAGGTGAACAGAAATGGCTCTAGAACAGAGGGGCCATTGGAACGTAGTAAAAGAAGAGAGAGAAGGAAGTGCCCACCAACAGTGGCTTTGAATGCAAACCTGGGGAGTGCAGACCTAACCAAATCGTAATAGAAACCCTCTCAAGTAGAATAATGGGATGAAACACAGTTGTAGGATACATAACCTCTGCAGCTGTGAGGAAAGGAGACTGGAGGGATGAGAAATTTTTCTGTAGTCAGAGCCAGGAAGAAGTCCTCGGGCAGGGCATGGCAATGGCCCAGTCTAAAAGATAGAGTGTCAAAGAAATTGGCGTCTTGCTCTCAGTATTCTGATATCTGTGTGCTGCAACAACTTATTCAAAGCCAAGAGGGCAATACTGGATTTCCATTTCTGCACTCAGATCTCTGAAAATAAAATGCTTTGACTGACAGTTTTGTGCTTTGGTTGATGATTACACAGGTGATTCTTTCCATGATGTAGTGAAGAAACAAAAACATTTCTGACAATGCCATCCAAGGGACATTTGTGTTTTCACTGTATCTGCAAATTATATCACATCCTGCCATGTTTTCTTCTGCCTATCTATATAAGGTTACTTTTTTTGTCCCTTGGTTATATATATATTTTCTCTCTCACTAGTAAATAGTAATATACTTATTTATGGCCATCTGAATAAAAAGCTTAGTTTTGTTTTGTTTTTGAGATGGAGTCTCACTCTGTTGCCCAGGCTGGACTGCAGTGGCTGGATCACGGCTCACTGCAACCTCCGCCTCCCAGGTTCAAGCAATTCTCCTGCCTCAGCCTCCTGAGTAGCTGGGATTGCAGGCACGTGCCACCACATCCGGCTAATTTTTGTATTTTTAGTACAGACAGGGTTTCACCATGTTGGTCAGGCTGATCTCGAACTCCTGACCTTGTGATCTGCCCACCTCAGCTTCCCAGAGTGCTGGGATTACAGCCGTGAGCCACCGCACCTGGGCTAAAAAGTTTTTAAAAAACACATTGGAGTTTATACCAGTCACAAAATTAGTGATGGAAAAAGACATTATTGCATCCTGGCAGGCCTGCATTACTCTTTTCTTGATTTCTGTTGCAGTGAAATCCATTCATTTTTCTATGCTCATTCCAGCCTCCCTTGACTGGAACGGGGCAGTTGGCCTACACATAGTGGTGACTGTTCCACCAAACTGCTCGTTTTGAGCCTCGTTCTCGCTGCTCAACAAGAGTCACTTGTAGAAAAAAAAATGTGGAAATCCCATACACTGACAAAGGCTCCCAGGATTCCACAATGTCCCTATAATACAAAAACTTTGCTATCTCTATATTTTATTTAGTAATCAAGTAGAAAATAATTTTAAAAGTGATCACCTTCATTAACTGCCTCTTCTTGCCCTGGAGATGAAGCAGCTGGTTCATGAGTGAGTGATACTCATGTCACTAATTCCCAGTTCTGAGCATCCACAGAGATTTGGCAGGGGAAATGCTATGCTCTTTGTTCATGGGGATGCCTGTAGCTACTTGGAAATAGTATATTCTTTAACAGAAGTTTCTTTGTCAGACTTTATAGCCAGAGTGTTCTGTAATAACCAGACATCCAAAATCGGGTAAACCAAAACCTCAAAACTAGAGCTTGGAAAATTTTGTGTAAGTGTAGGTGGGAATCTACTCCAAACACATATGCTTCCAGAAATGACTATGAGAAGGCCTAATTCTGTTTCCCAGTGAATTGCACCTTCCTTGTAAAACAACAACAACAAACTGCTGCAAAGCCAGAGGACTTTGATGCCATCTTGGTTCACAAAGTGTCCCACGCAGCTGAACAGTGTTGGAGATGCAGGGGTGCTCTTGCTTTCTGGGAAAAGGGGTCTCATTTCTGCACTGACCTTACCTTAGACTCTGTGGGATATGCTCGCCATATACTTGCTGCCTACTGTGTTTCCCTTCGTCATAACAGTAGTCCTGCCCATATATGATTGGTGTTGCAGCCATTTCTCTAGAGGCAGGAAAACAGGCTCAGCACAGTTAAACGCCCAGGCTGCCTCTGGAGGGGATAACTAAATGGCAAGGACACTCAGATCCCCATTCTACCTTTATCTTTCTATCACTACACCATGCCACCTCCTGGAAATCTATATATACCATGCACAAACAGCAGCGTGTCTTGGGCCTTTTGATGCAGCAGGGTGTGTGTGTGTATGTGTGTGTGTGAAAGAAAGAGAGGTGTTTTCCTGCTCCATCCCTCTTGTGAGTACACACAGGTGAGATGGGGCTGTGCAAAACAGTTCTTCTCCGTGATAAATGAGCCTAACGCTTCCATGATTCTTTCCATTTCTAGAAAATGAAGTACCAGCCCCAGCCCCGCCCCCAGAAGGTGAGTAAAAACACTGGTTCACACATGTTTGCGCTGCAAATACAGAACATCCATCCCAGCATGATTTGGCCTCCAGGGGTGCTGTGAGCTGTGAGCTTTAACCTAACTTCTACTGAGAAGCTGGATGGTGACCTTTGTGATAAGTTGGTAATAACAAAAATAATACGTTGTGTTTATACAATCCTCTTGTGTTAATCTAATTTGGATGGCACTTCATATATATTAGGGGGAGAAATCTTATGAAACCTTTTAAGTTATGTAGAAGTTATTATGTCCACATTTTACAGTGTGGAGGCTGAGCCTCCATCCAAGAGGCTGAAGAATTTGTGAGGCTATTTCCCATATAATAAAGATCAAACAAACCCACATCTTCTTTATGAGAGTGGGGAGTGGATCCATCTCTACCCTGGATGATCCGCTGTCCCTTCTCAATTTGAAATATGTCATTATTGAGCACCTCCAGAAACTCCCTAGGGACTTTCCAGAAAGGTTTGGTGGCCTCTGAGGTTCAATATGGGACCAACTTCTTGAGTTCTTAGTACCATATTGTCCACCAGTGGGCAACAGAAAATGAATACAGAGATCCAGTGAGACCCTTGGCAGGTAGGGCAGTCCCCTGTGACACACAATATGTGAAGCTTGCTTTTATGTCTACGTATACCTAAAGAAGAGAAGAAGATTGGAAGACTGAAAGCTCAACATAGCTTAAATTCCCAACATGTCTCTTCAGAGTCATTTATCTGCCAAATAGCCCCAAGAAGGAAGCAACCAAAATCATGTGCATTTTCCTATAAAGACTCCAAAGTGGCCTTTCTCATCCCTCTTTCTCCTTGAAAAGGGTGAGAAACTGTCATCCATTCTATAATTATTCACTAGGTATTTACCCTGTACACAATTCTGACCTAACCCTTCAGAAGGATTCAGAAATACCTACCATATACATATTGATAGCTAGGTGCAAGCATATTATACCAGATGTACTGGGGAACTCTACACAGAAAACATTCTCCTGTATTCAAGTTTGTTTGCAGCCAAGTGGAAACTAGAATACAGCCTGGGGAACAATTAAATAAAATGCAACCACAACATTAAAACATTAGGCAATATTATAAGACCACCATCCCCCACCCCCTCACCAAGCAGTATGTGATTATTTGTGGGTTGCTTAAACTGGCAATGCGATATGAAGCCAGCAGGTCACTGCAGACCTGGTCCAGCTTAGATGAAAGCAGTTGGATAAGGTCTCAGTTTCCAATCATCTTTTCACACAAAAACTGATGAGGCAATTACAAAGCTTTCCTCCCTGGAAGTCATTTTTTCTTTTTTCTTTCTTTTCTTTTTTCTTTTCTTTCTCTTTTTTGAGACAGGGTCTTGCTCTGGAGTGCAGTGGCACCATCACAGCTCACCACAGCCTCAAACTCCTGGGCTCAAGCAGAGAGTGTTTTTCAGGAGGGCAGTTTGAGAAATCTATCTGCTCACAAGAGGCCCTTTGTCTAGCTAAGAATACTTCACACACTCAAACCCTAAAGCGTATAGAAAAGTATTACTACGTGCCAAAACGAACAAAACTGGCTCAGAGCCATGTGAGTTCAAACAGGAGCAAGCTCAGATTTATTTCCTTTAGATGTTGATCTTGAAACTAGTGTAGATGTTTGACATTCTTCTTAGGATCTTCCTCTTCTTTGGTATGTTTTCTCTTGGCCTGTAACAAATTTACTTTGACCAGCATTGAGCACACTGAGAACCTACTACTGGCCATTACAAGCAGACCTTTCCCTTCTGTTTTTCAGATTAGTTGCTGCCACTGACCCTCTACTGTTTCCTTTTTATGCCATATTTCATATTCATTGCACAATATTGACTTCCTCTTGCTCAAATGTCTCCTCCCAAACTCTGCTAAAATTGTCCTTTTTAGTTAACTGAGATTCGAATCTCTATTTATCAGTCCAAAAAAAGAGAATTCATTCTTGAAACAATTCTTTTCTTACATATACCATAAGTCAGATACCATTTGCAGATCTAAATATGATTCCAAACACAGAGAAATGCAAACTAGATGGTCTCAACTGATAGAATCTGATGTTACTCCTCTTGTTTTGCATTTATTGCCACTAAACCCAATCCAGAAGATTCACAGGGACACTGAAACATTTTATTTGAAACAACATATACTGCACACAATTACATATTTAGAATCATTACATGGGGCAAACTGACTTTTCTTTGAAAAGTCAGTCCCTTGTTGAGGTCTAAAATAAAGTGGCTCACATTTTTTTGCTCAATTCTACTCCCGCATGTTATATAACATGATCCAAGTTATATAACTTGGATATAGCGGGGTGTATTTTAACAAAATCTGTATTGAGTGTTCTTATGTGTGCTTTTCCGAAAATGATCAGATTGTTTTTCACTAAAAGTTTAGTGTGACTCTAAATTATAATTTCTAAACTTATAATTCATGTAGAGCACAAGTATTCAGTATTATTTATGACCTGTTCTGTTGTTGTTTATTCCTTCCATCCCCCTCTCCACCTCATTGCTCAACACACAATAAAATGCTTTAAGACACTTTAAAAAAATATGCTTGTACTTTCTACACAGAACCAAGTAAAGAGAAGGAGGCCGGAACTACACCAGCAAAAGGTGAGTTGGAGGGAGGGAGAGTGAGGCTGAATTCAACAAAATTAGAAGCAGAAAGAGGTCAGTAATGATGCCATGGTGGCCCCATAGAATATCTTTCATCAATGTGGTTTAGAGTTCCGCCTTTGCATCTTATCTGCAAGACCAGTATAATGACAAATGGTGTGTTGCTAAGTTTCCATTACATGTATTTCTAAAAGAAAAACAACGATAAAAATATCACAAGCACTTGTTGAGATGCCAGAAAACTAATTGGTAGTTTCCAAGTTTCAATGTGCATGCTAAGAAAAAGACGTGTTTGTTGTCTTCTTGGGAGTATATTAATTGGGAAAATTATCTGAATTAACTAGATTTTTATTTAAATGGAATGTTTTCATGTTATTGCGTGAACTGTTCCAGGTTTCACTAGTAATTTTAAAGGTTAGCATCTCACTTTGTAACACTGACTATGTGTTCGTGTAGATTTATGTAATGATTTACACAGATTCACAGTATAACATTAAGCAAACGTTATGTTGCTCCTTCTTGAATTGGAAACTAATTTATTCCTGTAATATTATCGTGTTTTTACTTTATATGGAGATAGTCTCATTTTAGAAAACAATCTTGCTCATATACTTCTGTTACTCCATGAAATACTAATTCCTTTGTCTCACCATGGAGGAAATGATTATCATTTCTGACCATCTGTCTTAAGAGCTAAGGAGCATTAGTCTTCTACAGGGGGAAGTTTTCATGAAGGTGGATTAGACAGTTTTGCTTTATATGTTTGTACTGCCATTTTAAAAGTAAACCTTTTATTTGCATAATGAATAACAAAGTCTAAATTTTGGAATCATTATTTTCTGACTGCAACAAGAAGTTTCTCTTTTTCCTGGACACTGCTCAAAAGCATGTTAAGTATCTCTCTGTTCTTGCTGTATCATATTTATCATATTTCATTATCTAATTTCTATGATATTCTTGTCTCCTATACATTAGTAAAATACTTTTTTTCTTTCTTGCAGTACATTGGATTACTTTTCTTCAGCTAACTATGCTCTCATAATGAATGCATAATGTTAGTATACTCTGTCCTTGACCTTCAGTGGCTCCCATGGAGAGTAACATGAATACTAATCCTGGCCACGTGGGCCACAGTTTGAAGGTTATTTACTTATGGAATGCAGACAGTGCAACCTCCTAGAACTCCTTCCATGGGATGGTTTCAAGGAGGTTTGGACATCCTGGCTGAAATTATTGTAACATTATTCTCTACAAAGCTATGGCATACACCTCTGTTTCTAAATTTGGAAAGTTGTTTGGGCCAGGCTGCAAGGCTCAACAAACAGAGCAAATGATGTAATCCCAGAGGGCAAGCTGTCAAAGTTTAAACAAAGCCGGTGCCTGACCCTTAATCTGAAAAGTCACCATATTATACTTGTATGTTTAAATGAGAAAATGCCTTTCCTTAAAGCCAACCAACCAACCAATAAAAACTCTTTTATTTATGGAGAATACAGCATGAAAGAGCAAGGCTAGATGACACAGGCATTTTGAAATTAGTAGCATTTTTCTGACATTTGCAGAAGACAAGCAAGACCATGATCACATGCAGTCACATGACCAGGTACATAAACTGCCACGTGTGTGTGTGTATGTGTGTGTGTATGTACATATATAGGCAAATACCTGTATATGTATGTATTCGTCTTACATGCGTAGGAAGCAAATCAATTCAGGATAGAAAGTCACATCCCTAAATAAAGAAGGTAAATGGATGGAAGTTTATTATAAATATACAGTCTTCTTCAACTATTACCCACTTTCATCAAGGACAGAGAAATTGCAAATAAAATACTTAAGCAAAAAGTAGACATAATAATTACTTCTACATGTCTATTCCTGGTTGAGAAAGGAGCCCTGCACAGGAATAAACAGGATTGATGGGTGCAACCTGCTTTTTTTCCAGCATGAACGAGAACTCCCCTGCTCTCCCTTCCTCCTCCAGCTGCCAGTGTATCTAATTTTTTTTAATCATTCAATTCAGGTTTCACTCCTTTGTACAGCTTTCCCCTGACCATCCTGGCTCACTTTTAACTCCTCTTGTTTCTCCTGATTTTTCTTGGACCTATTGCCTCCTTCATTTAATCATTCGTGTCTCCATGTAATCATACATTAATGGTTGACTCCTTTCCCTAACAGGTTGTAAGCTTCTTGACATTGGCCCCCTTATCTTATTCCCTCCAGCATCTGGCAGAGAGCTGCACATAGTAATCACCTAATAAATACTTGCAAAATGAATGAGCAGTCGAATGGCTTACCTGGTGACCATTCAGTGGTAATCTGGATAGATTTTTTTTTTTCCATTCAACATGTGTGCTGGGTAGGATGAACATCCTATGTACATTCTTAGTCACTGAGGGTCTGGAATGAGGCACTGCTGCAGAACAGATGGATGATTTCCATTGTAAGACCAACTTGCCTAAAGCTACTGAAAATGGTCATGCCTGGATTTTAGTACATTTTCAGCACTTTAACTGGTCTTCTATTTAATTAGTTGACATATATTCAATTAATTGCTCCAAATCTGTCACTATTAGGAACATTATTTGTTGCAATACAGACTTAACATCATTCCCAGATTTATTGAATCATTCTGCAACAGCTTAGAAAAATGTTTTTTGAAGCCACAGAGAGTTGTTTGATTCTGATATTAATCTTAGAAGTACTGTTTGTGGTTAGATTTGCTGACTTTTTCAGATTTACTAAAAGTCTCTGTCTGGAAAGCAGCCTATTTCCCAGAAAAGGGTTTTATTATTGTTTGTTTGCTTGCTTGCTTGTTTGCATGTGGCTATGTATCCAGCTATCCTGTTCCTTAATACTGACCACTTTGTCCTGGGACCTGGGCAAAGTCTCCTGAAACTGAAACAAGAGAGATGACAATAAAGAAATGTGTTTAGCCAAACAGCAATAGCAGAAATTAGATGTGCAAATCCCCTTCAGGGTAATCATACTAGGAGGCAATGCCCTTATAAAAATAATGCTGCTCTGGCTTAGAATTCTTTCACAATAATTACAGGTAGCAAATCAATGGAATGCTAAGTATAGGTTCTTTTCTGTATGTTCAGTGGGGTCAAATATCCACCTTTTATTGTAGCACATATTTATTCAGCAAGATTTGCTGAGTGTTGGTTACATGCCAGGCACAGATCTGGGCACTCGGTCCTCCTGGAGCCAAGTTACACTTTAGGGGGAAGAACAACCATCAACAGAGGAAGGCGGATTTCAGTTTTGGAAGCAGACAGGAGTCACAGAGGGCCATGTGTAGAGAATAACGTGGGTGATCAAGTGGGATCATACTTTTTTTTCCATCAACTAAGATCCAACATCCTATGTCTGAACATAGGGTAATTAGAGTCGGTTTCTGCCGTGCCTCAACAGCTGGCCCCATGGAAAGCTCCGAAACTGGTTCTGTGGCTGGTCTCAAAAGTGACAGCAGCATTAGAAACAGAGACCACTTTAAAGACCAGTACTCATTTCCATGCCTAAGTACTGATATATATATTTTTTACATTGTATTAGCTTAGAGTCTATATCTTTTTTTTTTTTTTTTTTTTTTTTTTTTTTTTTTTTTTTTTTTTTTTTTTTTTTTTTTTTTTTTTTGTAAGCTCAGTTGGTAAAGGTGCTGACTTTTTTATTACTGCTTTTGGTAATCACTAAAAGGTAAATAAAAACTTATTTTCTTTTCCCAGGCATGCACCATATAAACTATCGTGAATGAACCCTATGTGTATTAAATATCTCACATAACCTGAGATGAAGTCTTCCTTTTGTATGAATGTGATTGGCAGATGAGGAAGTGAATCAGCAGCAGCTCCAACACACTTTCCCCTGAATGATGTGATTTTAAGTTAAAAGAATGTTTTTTAAAAAATTTAGGTTCTTTCACATCTGCAATAATATTACCCTGGCGCTTTTTACTAGCATGCCAAAATATTTTTGTACAATTTACCTTTAGGTGTCATACAATCAGCCATCTACTAAAATTTCTCTAGGCTTGATCTATATATTCTAATTACATCACTTCTTTGTAATGAACTTTGTTAAAAACTAGTATCACCACACTTTTCAATTCGAAGACACAGCCACTATGAGGCAAGATTGATTTAATAGATTTTGGGAAGAAAAATTCATTAAATGTACCTATTTATTGTAGGATAAATCATGATTTTATAAGCATCAAAGTGTGCAGGCATGTATCATCTCATTAAGGAAATGCAATGAATTAACCGAATGCCTCAAAACATAATGAATTAATGTTAGCTATTGTTATTGTCTCCCATATTTTATTGCTGTTGTTATTTTGGTCACAAACACCAGTATGTACTACAACTGATTACTCTGCTTGAGGAATTCATGAATTTGTCTCAATCAAACAAGGTATTGTATCAGCATTTAATTGTTTGTTTACAAGTCACATATATTTGAATTTTATAAGCTTTTGGTCTTTATTCTTAAATCTCAACAATTGTCTCAAGTTCATATTGCTTAAATAATTTTAAAAGGCAATTTAAAATCAGCCATAGGTAGGAGTTATTTTATGCTCAAGAGAGTTTGGATAATTACAAGAATTTACACATTCTACTATCTCTGGAGCTTTTTATTCAGTTACAAGTCTGTCACTCTCATTCTGAAGTATTTATGTATACTCCCTTAAAATCCCAGCCTTGTAATATAAGACTGGGTTCTTTCTCTACTTTCTAGGAGTTCTTCTCTGGGAACTTCTGTTGTTTAAATAATCATTTTTACGGTCTTACAAATGCTATTTTCCCATGACTTACAGATGAATAAAATTCTGCTTTGGTAAATTGCTCTTCTAGGTAGCTAGGGGAGATAGCCCTGCTGCTCTGAGTCTGTGGTTTCCCTGTATATCATATTCCAAAAAGTCAAAATGTGATGTTTATGTATTCATCGTCACCACTTTTAAATAGAAAAACAATGAAATATGGCTTACATATTATATTTTTTGTTTTGTTTGAAAATGTTGTTTGTAAGATGCTATGTCTTTCATATATATATTGTTGAACTGGACACAACCAGAAAGATCTGGATATTTCATTTGCCTCCTAGCAATAGAACCTAGTTTCTACGGCAAATAAGAACAACTAAACATTTCAGTCTCATCGAACTCAACCAAATCCAACAAGGCAATTTTTTGAGAATTTAAGGTCAGAATCCCAACATCTTAACTACATTTCCCAATCTAAAAAAAAGTGCCAGGATCGAAGCAACTTTTAAAAGAAAGGAAACTGACTGGGCGAAATGGCTCATGCCTGTAATCCCAGCATTTGGGGAAGGCAGAGGCGGGCAGATCACTTGAGCTCAGGAGTTTGAGACCAGCTTGGCCAACACGGTGAAACACCATCTCTACTAAAAATACAAAAATTAGCCGAGCGTGGTGGCAAGCACCTGTATTTCCAGCTACTTGGGAGACAGAGGCAGAATTGCTTGAACCTGGGAGGCGGAGGTTGCAGTGAGCCAAGATGGCGCCACTGCACTCCAGCCTGGGCGACAGAGCTAGACTCCATCTAAAAAACAAGTAATTAATTAATAAAAATAAAAGAAAGGAAACAGTAAACTTTGCTCATGTTATGTTTTCTAGCACTTTCTCAAATTCAAAAATTTATGTGCAATAAGTCAAAGCTTGCCAACTGAAAAGTCATTGCTCTTTGCAATTACTGCTGGGTGATCTAGAGGAAGACTTTCATGATACTGTGAAGCACTGCATTAATATGTGTTCCTTCGTAGTCTAAAATGATTGTGCATGTCTTCCAAATAGTCTTAACATTTAGTAGACTTTAAAACTACTCACCTTTCAAATTTTTGCTGAAAAAACATTGCTGGCTGGGCGTGGTACCTTCTCAAGCCTATAATCCCAGCTTTGGGAAGCTGAGGCAGGAGGATTGCTTGAGCTCAGGAGTTTGAGACCAGCCTGGCCAATATGGTGAAACTCTATCTACGAAAAATACAAAAATTAGCCAGGTGTGGTTGCACATGTCCATAGTCCCAGCTACTCAGGAGGCTGAGACATGAAAATTGCTTGAACCTGGGAGGTAGAGGTTTCAGTGAGCTGAGATTGCACCACTGCACTACAGCCTGGGCAATAGATTGAGGCTCTGTCTAAAAAAAACAAACAAAAAAGCCCAGAATGCCATTATTACGTATTCTATGCATGTAATGAACCATCACATGTACCTCATAAATATATACAAATATTATTATGTATCAATCAATTTTTTAAAAACAAGATTGGCATTAGGAGAAATGCCTAATGTAGATCATGGGCTGATGGATGCAGCCAAGCACCACAGCATATGCATACCTAAATAACAAACCTGCCCGTTCCACACATGTACCCCAGAACTTAAAGTATAATAATAATTTAAAAAATTAAAAACAGAACTAAAAAAAAAAAGACAAATTTCCTTCACTTTAGTTTCATACTTTCAGAAGTATGTGAATACTCTTCAGTCATTTTGTGTTCTAGATCATTGACTCAAGGTTTCATTATGCTCTGCGCACGAACAAAAAGTAAACCACCACAAAACCTTTGTAAAGTGTTCATTCGACCCAAAATGTTTCAAGCTTATAGTTTACATATAATAAAGAAAGCTCCTTTCTAGGATATGATTGAATTTTAACTTCATTTCTGTTAATTCTTACAGGACTTTAAATCAAGATTCTTATATACTTCAGTAAGTAAAAGCCTTTGAATAGGTGACAAGAATAAAGTACTAAATACTGAATTAAACTTATGGCAAATAATAATATAGAAAAATTACAAAGTATTTTATTTTTGATAATGTAAAATTTTAAATATTTCACAGTCTTCTGAAATACAGAATTCTTTAATAGCTCAGAAATACCTATGCTGGGCAAATGCACAATTTTGTGGAATGTGAATATATGTACATTATTTCAGAAGAAAAAAATTCAAAGTGAACTAAGTTTTGGAGGTGATAATGACCATATCATTTCTTATCACCCCCATTTCCAGAACATATTATTTGTACATTCAGAGCTTTCAGATGTCCTGCAGTAAACATGAACACAAAACAGTAATATACAAGCATTTAACTCCAGCCTAACATTTTTCAAGCCTTTTTGACCACAGAGAGCTTCCTATTAAGAATCTAAAATCCCACATTACCCAGGGAATCACCAATTGGATTCTGAAGTAATGATATTAATATATTATATTAATACATTATAAATATATAACAGTTATTTTATTTAAAAGTAATAAAACATATCCCTGGGCCAGGCGCAGTGGCTCACACCTGTAATCCCAGCACTTTGGGAGGCTAAGGTGGATGGATCACAAGGTCAGGAGTTCGAGACCAGCCTGGCAAAGATGGTGAAACCCCATCTCTACTAAAAATACAAAAATTAGCCGGGTGCAGTGGCGGGTGCCTGCAATCCCAGCTACTTGGGAGGCTGAGGCAGGAGAATCGCTTGAACCCGCGAGGCGGAGGTTGCAGTGAGCTGAGATCACACCACTGTACTCTAGCCTGGGTGACAGGGCACAACTCTGTCTTACAAAAAAAAAGAAAGAAAAAAAAAAACATATCTCTGTTTGACAATTTGGGACAAAACATTTCAGGCCAGTAGGTAATACTTGTAGTAAATATTCTAACAGATTATACTTAAATGTACTATTTTACATTTTTGTCAGTTTTTCTTTAAAGCACTTTTTAACATTCCTGTGCATGTGTTTCGTATATCCTATTTTGTACAGTCAAATACATTTACATTTTGAAATCCACATTCTAGTTTGCTTTTGCTTTTCTTTTTAGAGTCAGGGTCTTATTGTGTCATCGAGGCTGGAGTACAGTGGCATGATCATGGCTCACTGCAGCCTCCAACTCCTTGACTCAAGTAACCCTTTGGCCTCAGCTTCCCAAGTGGTTGAGACTACAGGCACACACCACCAAGCCTGGCTATTTAAAATATTATAATTATTATTATTTTACAGAGAGAGTCTTGTTATGTTGCCCAGGCTGTAAATTCACAAATATTCTACTATTTTAAGTATAAAGATTTTATTAGTTATAAAAACACTAGTTTATGCTTTGGGAAGAGCAGAGAAGAGGTTCAGATAACACCAAATGCCTCTCTAAGGATGTAAAATGTGAACTTTGACTGTTCACAGACCTCAGTGATGTGAGCACTGCTGCTCAGGAGTAACAAGTTGCTAAAATGCAGACGGGATGGGTAGTATTTCTTGCTTCTCATGATGTTTCTGTATGTTAATGACTTGTTGGGTAATTATTAAGGTACTAGAACTGATAAATGTGTACAGGGTCCTTTGCAATAAAACTGGTTATGACTTGATCCAGGTGTTTAACATTTGGGGTTGTTAAGTCTGACCATACATCACTGTGATAGAATGTGGCCTTTTTCAAGGATGAAGATACAAGTCTTAACTACCTTATAGTTAAGTCTTACCTTAACTATAAGGTAACTTATAGTTTCCCTAAAAAAATTTTAAAAATTTAAAAAAAGTAAACCTGGCACTACAGAATATACTATGTGCATTTATAATAGCTGTTTTATATATTGCAGTGTTAACATTTTAAAATTAAATGTTTTACATTCACAAATGATGGGGAGTCTTATCATTAAGGTGTGTGTAATTTAGAGTCCAGCTGGTTTTATTCTAACTGGACTGCACTTGTTTTCATAGTGGTAAAATGCTATGCACATTTATACCTTGCATAAGTCCTCATTCTACCACATATGAACTAACCCTCTAGCTGAGAATACAAACACTAGCTGGGGAGATAGGGCTGTAGCATAAAATACAAGTTATTCAAACCAGCATCATCTGTTACTCATATTCTTATTTAGTTAGCGCAGCTTTTCATTGTGTCGTGGTTGATCTCATAACTAGGTTGAGTTTTCCTCCTCTGCTAACAGGAAACAAGAACCAATGCCGAAGTTCTTTTTCTTATGCATTTGTATTATGAAAAGCACAAAGCTCCTGTCCACTGAACTTTTGCCAATTAAGACAGTGTTGGGTTAGGTTGCATCTGGTTACTGTCCTGTAAAAATCCCTTTTATAGAGATAGTGTTCCAAGCAGTTTTAAAATTTATCCTTCTACTGAAGTTTTTAGGTCAATTATGTATGCTGACTAAGTTTACAAATAAATTTGTTTATCCAAAATAAATAAATCAAATGTGAACTTTGAAGTTCAGATGTTTTCCAAAGGGGAAATGTTCTGCACATAAACACTAAAAGACATATTTTGAATTTCACAAATGCACATGGGTAAATATTAATAATACAGCATTGTCTAACACCAATATTATGTCAAAAAAATGCTTATAAAGTTAATTGGTTTATATTAATTTATCTTGACTTTTGTTTCTTAGACACTGAAGAGCAATTAATCACGAGGTTTTCTGGGTGGAAATGAGTTCTCAGACAGTACATATATTGGCTTTTATGTCTGTGTCCAAATGAATGTGATATATGAATAATGTCTGTCATTCACAGTTACAAAATCAGGACTTGAAAACCACATCCATTATTGATTTTATCAAGGTTTGATTTTTAGCATTCATTTTTTCCTGACCTACAGTCACATAAAACACTTGCAGTGTTCCATTTTTAAATCTATGCTTCCATTTGGATTACATTACTCTCTCAACTTTTTATTTATTTATTTTCTTTGCCTGAAATACTCAGGTTTAACTTTTCAGGTACCAAGTCTTCTCAGGCTTGCTCAGCAGTTGAAAGTGTATTGTGTGGTTTCTCCTCTTCTTTTTCAGATTTCTCTTTTCTCAGGTTACTTGGGATGAAGTCCTTTACTCCTTGACTTTTTACTCCTATTTCTTGTTTCAGATGAAGAGGAAGTCTCCCCGCCTAGCGCCTTGCCTCCAGGTTAGGATACTTTCTACCCTTTTCCCTGCTTTTAAATTATTCATTGACAGTAAAGGAAAAGAAAAGGCAGAGAGCCTCCTCACTGAGTCAGTATACAGAGCAGGGGAACCAGGTTTTGCCTGTGCTGGCACCAAGAAGGAAATGTTAGCTTTAATGACAGGTTTTTGTTTTACATGAGAAACTTCTTAGAGACATTCTTTGAGAAATAAATAAGACTGGTAAATCTTGGGTATAAATGCTAGGAGTCAACACATTTGTCTTCCATTTCTCACTCTATAACCACCCTTTTCCCCTGTTCTTTAAACTTAGATATTTGGATTTCTTTTCTTTTCTTTTCTTTTTCTTTTTTTTTTTTTTGAGACTGAGTCTCACTCTGTTGCCCAGGCTGGAGTGCAGTGGTGTGATCTCGGCTCACTGCCACCTGCACCTCCCAAGTTCAAGCGATTCTTGTGCCTCAGCCTCCAGAGTAGCTAGGATTACAGGCGCACGCCACCATGATAGGCTAATTTTTATATTTTTAGCAGAGACATGGTTTCACCATGTTGGCCAGGCTGGTCTTGAACTCCTGACCTCAAGTGATCCACCTGCCTTGGATTCCCAAAGTGCTGGGATTACATGCATGAGCCACCATGCCTGGCTGGGATTTTTTTAATGTTTCTATCATTTTAAAATAAGACATATACTTTTATAGATGCTTTCATAGTTGGAGCTCTACTGATTTTCCATCCAAGCCAACTTATAGGGTTTTTTTCCTTCCTATCACCAAAGGAGACAGGGTTTAGGGGAATCCAAGAAGGTTGAAGTCAGCACTCAATTTTCAACACTTTTCCACCCCTCTACATCACCCAAATTACACTTTCCTTTCAGGTTTGGGTAGTCGGGCTCTGGAAAGAAAAGATTCAGGTGAGCACAAGCCCAGACAACGCATCCTGACCTCATCCTAATACAATCACTAATGACCTCATTTCTTGAAGCTGTATTGACTCTAATCCTTGTCTTACTCAGTTTGCAGTTTTTATAGCAATCTTTCATTACGTTTCCTCTTGCAAGAAAACTAATGTATTGAGAAACAATTAATTTTGCATGATATACACTCATTCAAGGATATAGCCACATAGACCACAGGTTTTTTCTATCATTTTTAATAATTAGCAAATACACAGAGCTCAATCTTCATAACTTTGAGTGCCAAAGTAAGATGATAATTCACATTCTTATAGAACTTTACATACAGATAATAAAACACTTTCAAATGCATCCTGTCAGCCGTAGCTCCTGTTCTGTGAAGTTATTCATTCATTCACCAAATTTTCACTGAGGACCTAATATGATCCTATAATGGGCCTCTTATGGCCAACCACTCCTAGAGGCACTGTAGGTATAGACGTGAACAAAACAATAGAAACACTTAACCTCACGTTGTAAATGTGAAAGATCACTTTTGTTCCTATTAATATCACAAACACAAACAACATAAAATTTTAACATTAACTTGGGTGTTTAAAAATGTGTGATCATATTACTATGATAGTCACATGATTGTGAAAATGTTTAACTTCATTGTGAAAATGATGGTCAACTACAGATAGAAATATCAAGTATGACTGACACATGAAAAATAAGATAATTAAATGTGCATTTTCCTTCTTTTCAAGAAACATTAACAGGCAGAGAGTTGGCAACCTACGCATTTGCTTTTCCAGCTATTAAGTGGCTGAACCTGAACTCTACATTCGGCTCAGAGACAGGGGAAATATCTACAGTTCTCTCTGCTATCCTAGAATTGGAATTGACTGTAGAGTAAACCAAGCACCAGAGTGCAAACTAGATGATGCAAAAGAAACTCTATTTCCAGCTTGTCTCGCTTCATGGGAAAGCCTCAAACAGTTTCTTTTTCTTTCCAGTTCTCTGTTTGGTTTGGTTTGGTTTTTTTCCCCTTGCAGCACAATGCTAGTATCCTTGCAATTTGTACCACAGGTCATGATCTGTTTCTTCCTTGTCAAACAATGGCCACATCTGTAGAACCCTAATAAAACTCTCTTACAAAAGCAAGGAATCTAGAAATACCAGGCCAGGCTTGGCTCTCTGACCCTTGTCAGACAGTTTACCCTCCAGTGGACCCATCCCTTTAGTCTTTTCCCATGTAGTTGTATCGATGTGGCCTTATCGATGTGACACCTTTTCTTGGTGTCATCTAGAAAAACACCAAGAGTACTGCTTTAATACACTGACCGCCATTGTTTACCTATTAAGGGACAGGCAGGATGGAGAAACAAAGGAACTATGGCCACCAACAAAGAGAGAATAACAGCTTACTTAGAAAATTCCACTATTGCTAGGAATTACAAAATGCTCTTTGCCCCATGATGGAATAGATACCCCTGTAAGAATGGGAATCAGTTCTCCTCTACTGATGGCTGCTGGGTGTGGAAAGAATGACGTTGTATTTATCTGGGTTTAATAGACAAAAAAAAAGCTACAGCGTTGGTGAGAACAACAAATCCAGGTAAGACTGCCTAAGAAGAGCCTGGCCCTGAAATGATCCTTTTCCTCCTTTCTGCTCATCAGAATGGTCCCTTGGCGAATCACCTGCTGGGGAGGAACAAGACAAGCAGAATGCCAACTCCCAAGTGTCTGTCTTGTTTGTTGAAAAACCTCAAGGAGGAACAGTGAAAGTTGGTGAGTGCACAGCATTCAATCCTACCTTTTTTAAAAAATTAAGGTGAGCCGGGCATGGTGCCTCCTGTAATCCCAGCACTTCAGGAGGTCAAGGCAGGCACATCACTTGAGCTCAGGAGTTCGAGACCAGCCTGGCCAACATGGTGAAACCCAGTCTCTACTAAAAAGACAAAAATTAGCCAGGTGTGATGGCAGATGCCTGTAATCTCAGCTACTTGGGAGGCGGAAGTTGCAGTGAACCGACATTACACCACTGTACTCCAGCTTGGGCAACAGAGCAAGACTCAAAAAAAAAAAAAAAAATTGAGTTGAAATTCACTCATAACATTAAACATTTTAAAGTAAACAATTCAGTGGCTATTAGTACATTTACAATGTTGTACACCCACCACTTCTATCTACTTCTAAAACATTTTCATCCCCCAAAAGACCCTATATCCCATTAAGCAGTTATTCCTTATTGCCCTCTCCCCCCAGGCCCTGGCAACCATTAATCTGCTTTGTCTCTCTGGATATTTCATATCAATGGAACCAGACAATGCAAGACCTTTTGTGTCTGGCTTCTTTTACTTAACCTAATGTTTCCAAAGTTAATCCACATTGTAGCGTGTATCAGTACTTCATTCCTTTTCATGGCTAGATAATATTCTACTCTTTACAACCTGAAAAGATGAGTGACAGCTATGATTTCAGTAACCTTCAGCACATAGGAGTCCACTGCCTGCACCCCAGAGCCAGGTGGCTTGGGTTCCAATCTTGATCTGCTTCCTGCTAACTACTGCCCTTGGAAAGACAGTTTAACCTCTTCATGCCTCAGTTTCCCCATCTGGAAAATGGTGACAATAATGACCTAGCTGTGAAGTACTTTAAACAGTGCCTGACATACCATAATGCTCTGAGCCGGTATCTGCTGTCATTATCACAACTCACTCCATAAGGTGATTCCAAATCTATACACATGCTAGGTCATAGTTCATAATATCCGAGACAGCTGATCAGACAAATAGTCCAACTCTTCAAATATTCAAATTTAAAAATATTGATTATATACCTCCTGTTTTAGGCACTGAGTAAAACATGTGAGCACTCAGAATTTACAGTCTGAGAGGAGCAGACAAAAAAATTAAATAGTCACAAATGCCAAGTGCTATGACGGAAGGATGATGAGCTGGAGGAGGACGTGAGGGCTGAAAAATTTTAACCAATAAATCTCTATAAGGGATATAGTATGATCTGAACTAGTCTTTGACGCTTATCAATATTGTGCAAATGAGTACATGGCTAACTATATTCCAGAATTACTTCTTTCCAGGCTAGAATGTCAAAATACACTGCATGTGAATGGAAATGTTGGTTCCCTTTGTGTTCCTATAAGACACTGAAATGCTGGGCTGGCAGCTGGACTACAGTGTCATGTCCTCAGGGTCTAAATCACTCCATACAAACAGATTGGCAGGTGTACTTCAAGATCAGTTTGATTTAGTCACATTCCTATAATTTCGGGCTTCTCATCACCTTGCCTAATAAAAAGAGTGAAAAAAAATCCAATTTTTTAATTTTATTTCACATATATATCCATATGTATGAAATATAATTTCATATATATATATATCATATGTATCCATATATATGAAATAAAAAATTATCTAAATATAAAATTATCCATATATAAAAATTACTTCCACTGGTTTCCCTATTACTTTTTCTACTCCATAAACTCCCAAAGCAGAACAAGTTGGAATAGCCTAAGGACCTCTAGAGGATTCATAAAAAATCAGGACCAATTCATTGCACAATTCCAAGGGCACCAATCACACCATATTCTGCAGTACAGTCCTGTGTCAACTCCTTCCAGTTGAAAGCAAAACAAATGACACTTTTTAAAGACGAAGCTGAATCACCTGTGCTTCTTCTAGGTGAAAATATCACCTTCATAGCCAAAGTAAAGGCTGAAGATCTTCTGAGAAAACCCACTGTCAAATGGTTCAAAGGAAAATGGATGGATCTGGCCAGCAAAGCTGGGAAGCACCTTCAGCTGAAGGAAACCTTCGAGAGGCATACTCGGGTAAGGTCCTGAACTCCCAGCACAAGGGCTCGCTAGCTCGTTCCTTCTGTGTGACTAAATGATCATTTTCAAGTTCAGCTTTGAGAGACTTCAGTTCCAGAAAATTCTCTGGAGTTACCATTCCTAGTGTCTACACTCTACTTCGATCGCCCTGCTGTGTCCAGGGGTTGCAGGACACATCTGCCCTCCTATACTGAGAACGTTGTACAGAATTCTCAGAGACAGACACAGCTTTAAGCCAATGCTGAGAAATTTGGAAAATAAACTGAAACGTGTGTGTCTGGATGCATTTCATTGCAGATATACACATTTGAGATGCAGATCATCCAGGCCAAAGAGAACTATGCGGGAAATTACAGATGCGAGGTCACCTATAAGGATAAGTTTGACACCTGTTCATTTGATCTTGAAGTGCACGGTAAGTGAACCTTCTTGCCTAGATAAATATAATTTTTTAATGGGGTGTGAGAAAATGGAGGAGAAGTTCATTTCATACTACGACATTTTGGGGGAAGTTCTCCTTCAAAACTGTGTGTTTCTGATTGTTGTAGTCTCAGCAACCCTGCTGAATTAAATTGTAATGGGACAATTTATAATAAAAGTGGAATGGGGGGGATTTTATCACTAAATATCTCTTGTCCATGCTATCTATATCCCTTCAATCTCCCAGGTAAAAGATGATGTCAGTTTTTGCTGCTATAGAATGTATGTTTCATGGGGTCCACTTCCCCACTCAGGTTTGGGGATAAGGTAATATGCTATGAGAGCTCAGGATACCCAGGTGGAAGGGAGAATTTCTCTTATAAAGACTAATGTCAGATATGGCAGTTCTTTATCCATATGTTCTGTGTACAACCCAGAGTAAAGATAGAAGGCCTAAATGCATACATTTAGGTTGGGAAAAAACCTCACTTATATAAGTATACAAAGGAAAAGTTGACTTGGCAGCAAATATTATAAACTTAAGGTGAATGTAAAGTGTGATATAGTTGCAAAAGACAAAGCAAATGTACTTTTATTTTATTTTATCTTATTTTATTTTATTTTTTTTATTTTGAGACAGAGTCTCACTCTGTTATTCAGGCTAGAGGGCAGTGGCACAGTCGTGGTTGACTACAACTTTCATCTCCTGGGTTCAAGTAATTCTCGTGCCTCAGCCTCCCAAATAGCTGGGACTCCCAGCTAATTTGGGGGCAGGGGTGGTATTTTTAGGAGAGACGGGGTTTCGCCATGTTGGCCAGGCTGGTCTCAAACTCCTGTCCTCAAATGATCAACCCACCTTGGCCTCCCAAAGGGCTGAGATTACAGGTGTGAGCCACTGTGCCCGGCCATGAATGTAATTTTAAACTGGGCTATTCCAAGTGCTATAGGATCTAAGTTTAGGAAATGATACTTCTCTCTACAACATGCTACATGTTCTACATTTGGAGTGATGTCTTTAGCTGTGGGCGCTATACCTCTGTCTGATCCTCTTCTGGAGTGGGGTAAACAGGAAAAGGAAGAATCCAAAAACCACACCCTACCTAGCTTGAGTGTGTGGGTGAAGGAAGTCAGGCATACATGGCTTGTTGCAAAGAGGGGAAGGTCTGTCACACAGAACAAGGAAAACAAAGAAAAAGCCCTTTTCCATGCACAAGAAGCATTTAGTTTAGAATCAAAAGGCAGAAACGATGAGGAGGTGAATTTTGTCTTAACATTAGGATGAGCTCTTTGGTTAAAGCTATGTAGGAAGGCTGTGAGTCTCACTCAGAGTGATGTCAAGCAGAGGCTGGAAGGCCATGGGTCGGCTGCTGTGGATATTTCTGTATTAGGGAATCTGGAGTCCTGGGCAGCACGACTTCACCCTGGCTGGGCATCTCTAGAAGATCATCTGGAGGGCTTTTTAAGAACACTGATTTCTGGGTGCTCCTCCCTGATCTCTGGCAGAGAGGATCAAGAAACTGATATATTTTTAAGTCCCTCAGGTGATTCTAGTGGGGAGGCAAGTAGAATGACACCTGGACAAGGTGCCCCCTAGGTCCCTTCATTGGTTATTCATAAGAGAGGATGAGGTATGATGAGGCCTTGGCAGCACAGCCATTCAGGAGAAAAGCATCCCCCCTTCACCTGACATTCTTCCATCTAAAGAATTCTCACAGCCTGTAAAGGAACTGGATACAAACTACCTTCTCCATTGGGTATTTATGTTATTGTTTTCTTTCCTTTCAAAGAATCTACTGGGACTACTCCAAGCATTGACATCAGATCTGCTTTCAAGAGAAGGTAACTCCAAAAGGAAAATCTAGATAGTTTTTGTATAACACAGAAGTGGAGGATTTTCAAAAACACTTCCCTTCCCCTGTACTCCATATCCCAAATACGAACAACCCTTTTCACCGTAGTCAAACACACCAGGTATTTAAAAGTTGCTGTTCTAGAAAAACCATGGGTTTAAGGCCCAATCAAGCATATACTGACCATTTTTTTAAGAATATTCTTGTTCTAATGAATTTCCTATTTATGAGGTTTCACAGTTGCCTTCGAAAAACACTTTCAATTTATTCATATGTGGCTTCTTCCTTAATGCATTATTTTCCACCAAATGGGCAAAAGAGATATTCAAAGAGACTCATTTCATTGGTTAAGTAATAGCAGAAAACTGTTATTTATATTGCCTTTCATCCAGAAATCACTCATGGAGCTGCAGAATCATGTGCCCAAGAAAACCACAACTACGTAGCTACTTACTGAAGTTAGTACCATATAATATTAGATTATCCTAAATGAAACTGGCATTAAGAACACTACAGAAAGGCCAAATGTAGATATCTATTTAATATATTTTTGCAATTACCAAGGCTAAAAAATCAGGGGAGGTCAAGGAAAAAAAAAAAAAACTTTGGTCTCTGAGAAGTATAACCAGCCCCTTCCTGTCATTATGTTATTCTCTATATTTAATTATTCCATAATATAAATTCTTTAATGAGCGCAAATGTTTTGTTCTTCCTAAGACTGAATCCATATACAGTTTCATTAAATAAGGAAAGTCACACCAAACTATTATAAAACAATAATTTAGCCTATTAATAAGGCATATTTTCCTCTTCTATTACAAATAAATCAAAACTTTAATTACATTTAAAAGTATTAGATATTTTTTAATTTTAAAAAAAGTCATAACTTTCAAATCTTATTACTTTCCTTCCACTTTCCCTTCATCCCATGCTTAATAGGTGCATAGGTCTAAAACTATGCTCATACTGTTTACAAGTATATTTTAAGAGAGGGAGACATGATCTACTAAGTTTCCAGCTTTAAAAGAACATAAATGTATTTACTTCAAAAGGCCTGCAAACACCTGCAGAAATTTTGAAAACACATTATTGAGTTTCTTATGACTTACGTGTTATACACACTGTTTTTAAACCCACAGACTCTTTTCTTAGAAACCATAACTAACATTTGTAAAGAGCAGGAAACAAAATCTTCATTAAAAAAATAAACATGTAAGTAACTATGTAGTACCATTTAAATGTTAGCTCTATAGCTTCTAGTTAGAGTTTATATGACATCACAATGGTGGCTGCATGCCTAATTTAAGATGCATTTCTCTACGGGAAAGCACTTTTTAAAAATGCTAGTAAAAGTTTGATTAACAATTCAAGACAATTTTTTAAAAAACACATTTAAGAAGCTGTAAATATTAATAAGAATATTAGAATGATAATTATCACCCTTTAAGAGAGAAAGGAATGCATCTTTTAAAAGGTTTCGTGTTAGCTCCTTTTTTATTTTTGCCATGTTTGTATCACATTATCTGATTCATCTGTTTATGGACACAAAGAGGTTACCTTTGATATAAGGCTTTGTACTTATATATCTGACATTGGTACACTTCGTCCTCCAAGCCAATCTCTGTCTCACATGAATAACAGAGATAAGCAAAAGTTCTTTGCTTTTCACAGAGGTATGTTTAGAGCCCCCAACTTGCAAAAACAAAGTACTTTGTATTGCTTGGCTTAAGTGCATTTGTGTTACCTGGTTTTAACACAAATCCAAGCAGTTTTATATATGCAATCTACAAAAATGTGTCTTCTGAAATCACAGAGTAACACAAGCTTCTCGTTTACTTTTCCACAAGTACATACTCCAAAAACTTAACATGTCACTTGTGTGAAAATAAATAGTTTGTGTTGATTTAGTCCTTGTGTGCTGGTACAAAATTGCATATACGTTATATGTAGAGTGCTTGGGGGAAATGATTGTGTATGTCTCTGCATTAAACCCGGATTTGCTTTTTTTTTTTGTTAATGACAGTGGAGAAGGTCAAGATGATGCAGGGGAACTTGACTTTAGTGGTCTCCTGAAACGTAGGTGAGAACCAAGTGATGGAGTGAGACCGTGTGGCCTGGAAGTCTTTCAGACACCCACTCGCAGAAGTCAAGTTTAAAGTGGATGTTTTTCAAAGAACTTTTCATTTCCGAAAATGTGTTTTGCTTATAGAATATAACAGAGTTGACTAAGAAAGAGAGAAACAGCTGCATGCTAATCTTTTAAAGACTTTAACGGATGCTTTTAAACTTTCTTTTTAAATGTTTCATGACTCTTTACCTATTTTTTTAAATGGGGATGAAGAGATTTGAAAACTAAGACATAAGACAAATACCTAGAAACCTCTAAGACTGCACCTATGATTCCTTCTCATGACTGAATAAATAAGTCTTCATTCTCTTACCTTTGATATTTGATCAAAAAATCAATTTTACAATTTTGGTAGAAGTCTGAAGATATATACACATTGTAAGAGGCAGACCTACTTTAATATATTATTTATGAGGTACTGTATTTCTGCAAGTCTAAGATACCACGATTTTAAGATATACCAGTACTTTATAAATCACTAAGCAATAAAAAAATTATTCCAAATGGTTTGACACGCCATTGATTATAAGATACACTGTCATTTGAGAGGCCTTTAAAATGCCTCAAAAATGTGTTTTAGAAGTGATAAATGGAAATAAAAGTTTAGTATTATCACACACTCACATTTCCTTTTCATTGTTCTCTCCTGCAATAAAATTCATAGAATTTCATTATGGATACTTAGAACATAACCATTTTATAGGATTTCTCCCCATATATATTTCTATAACTGCTATACTCTTTATGAGGATTGCCAATATATATACTACATTTTATAGGCATGTTATAGATATCTAGATATTTACCATAGTGCAGAAGCAACAAAAGAAACACTTTTTTTCTGGGATTATGTTTTATCTAGCAAATTTGTAAATAAACAGAGTAAAACTATAATTCCAAATTAATTGTATATAATATCAGTTTTCATTTAGCTTTCCAGGTTTTAAAAATTACTTTTAGTGCTTTCTATGGTTATTAAAAGACTACAGGTACAAATACACTTCATAACAAATTACAAACACTTGAAATAAACTAGGATTGTGTTTAGTCAGATAGCTTTATTCAAGTCCTTGTGAATGAAAAATTTACACCTCAACATGTAGGTTGAGAACAGAAATATTAATGATGTGATTTATTAATTACTGAGGGATATTTGCCCATCAATAGACTACTTCAAATAACCTATTAGTCTCAATAGTATTGATTAATTCCCCAAATGCATTTAAAGCAATAGTACATGAAGTGCCTTTAAGTGAGCCTCATATTTCCTCATTCTACAGGTAAGAAACCAAGGTCCAGAGATAAGAAGTGACTTATCCCAAGTCACACAGGAGTTAGAGGCAGGGCAGGACCCAAATCCAAGTTTCCCTTTCATGAGTCAGCTCATTTCCTGTGACTCCATATTAAAGATACCACTCTGAATTTGCCTTAGAAGCTAGTGCTTCAGTTTATAATACAAATTGACACTTTAGGAAGACAAGAGAGCTTTTTATTCTCCCTGCAATCATTTACTCAATCAGGAAAACACTAAACACTATCTTTGTGTAGAATATAAAACTAGTGATGTGAGGAAAAGAAACCCAGTGCCTGGCACATAGAAAAGAAATGATACACATTTGTGGTAGGAAAAACAGTGGTAAAAACACGGGCTTGAGTCTCAACTCTACCATTTACTAATTATGTGACTTGTTCAAATATTTGACCCCTGTAAGACTTGGTTTCACATCTGTAAATGTGAAGAATAAATGCTACTTAATAGAATTATTGTACAAATTAAATTAAGTGTAAGCTTGGCTCACAGTAGGTGGCAAATAAGTATTACTTCCTCTAACAAAATGTGTCATTTTCTCTCAAATAGCTGATATTCATAAGGGGACAAAATACACACACACACACACACACACACACACACACACACATACACATTCAATCAACAAAAATGTGATACAGTACAGTACATTAGGCACCATGCTCTGGTTAAAAAGGAAAAAGAGAAAAAATAACAGATTTTCAACCAATAATTCCAGAATAAAAGAAATCTAATTACATGGTCAAAATGACAAAATTTTAAAATCACTTAATGGGCAGCCAACTTGTCTCCAGTTCTCATTTTCTTTTATCCCTTACTTAAGATTTTCATTCATAATTAGATTGTTGTTAATATAAGGCTATGTTATGTTCATTTAGTATACTATACTAATCCACTAATATAACTTTAGAAATCATTGTGTTTTCCTACTAATTTGTGAGTTGCATGTGTTTTCACTGTGGTAATGACACATGGTTACCATTTCTACTCTTCCAAGTGTGTGTGCCAAAATCCCCACCAGAAAAAAAAATTATCACAACCAACATCTCTGTACAATGAAAGATCTTCCTGCTCCGAACAAAGCAGCTTACTTCAAATAGACATTAGCTAAATCAGAGTAAATCTTTTGGGAAGCATTCTGTTACAGGATTTGACCTGTATAATACTTTTAAGTTGTTTTCTACATAAAATTTCTATAACTGCTATACTCTTCACTAGGATTGCTAAGTTACTGAAATTTTGATGTAGATGAAAGTACCATGAGCATTATGCAGGTCTATCCCAAGGCTTGGAAAAGAATCAGAAGTGCCTATGAAAACTTGGGTTTTTTTCCTCACTGTAACTTAACATAGCCATGCATGCAGACAGGGTCATGTGCAGCCACCATGGTAAGTAACTAAAGATATGTTCCAGGTGCATTAAGGAAATGCTGAAGGTGAGCGCCTTGATCTCACATTTCAGTACAAGATAGATGCTTCTCTTTACAATTTGAGATATAATTACGTAATGGAGACAAAAGGAAGGAATAGCAAAAGGTCATTGGTGTTCTTGCATGAAATTTGATAAGACTATGCATGTGATAGAGTGGAGTATAACTTGGCATTTTAATGAAAAAAATGGTGAGGATGATTGGTTTTATAAATCTACCAACAAAACTGACTCAGGACATCACACTAAAAATTGCCATGTTTATTACTGGTTTCTTTCATATAAATATTCACCTCATGGATCTAGGTAGGGCTCAGTGTTTGACTTGTGCCTCTTGTTAGCTATTTTAATTATATCTAGCTTGATATCTTTAAAGTCTTCGGCCAATGTCAGGAGGACACTTGATATGTAATGTATATGTGCAATTCTTTATGGTTCAAATACAAATTTAACATAATCCAGTATGGCATAATTTTATAGTCTGGGGACTATATTTAATCTGGAATGTGACAAAAAAATAGAGCATTAATAAACACCCCAGAGAAAATATATACATATGAACATACATATACATCTTTTTGGGTTTTTCTTTGAGACAGGGTCTCACTTTGTTACCCAGGCTGGAGTGCAGTGGCACAACATTGGCTAAGTGCAGCCTCGACCTCCTGGGCTCAAGCAATCCTCCCACTTCAGCCCTGCAAGTAGCAGAGACGACAGGCATACGACACCATGACCAGCTAATTTTTGTATTTTTTTGTAGAGACAGGGTTTCACCACATTGCCCAGGCTGGTTTCAAACTCCTGAGCCCAAGTAATCTTCCCACTTCAGCCTCCTAAAGTGCTGGGATTATAGGATTGAGCCACCTCACCCAACCTATACACATACATTGTAACTGCAATTCTCCTAGACTTCCTACTAAAATATTTAAAGGATGTATTTGAAATGTTTACTGTTTACAGGAAGTAGATTTAGTGGATCTGGCAAATTATTACCAATATTCCAATTTCAGGACAATTTTCTTAAGCTTTTCAATTTTCCTATGTAAATAAAGTACGTAGCTATCATTTCAGTGAGATGAAGATAATGCTTGTGTCTTGAGTTTTTAAGAGGCACATTTTGCTAATGGTGTTGTCCAGTCCTTCCCATCAAGATTACTAGAGAGACCAGTGATCTTTCACTTCCCTCTGTTTTCCAGGAGATCTGTCTCAATGTCCCCCTAATCCACTAGGCAAAAAGACTTACATGACAATGTAAAATGGAAGATAGACATTTAGATGTCATCCTTGCCCAATGCCACCCTAAATCAGTTAATGTTTATAATCTCCTCCCCTCCCCTGTATATTTTATCCATGATTACAACCCTGTATTTCCTTCTCAAAGTACACATGAGTATAAAGATGACACTCTGGGTGGTGTGGTGGCCAGCCACTTTTGCCATGTTAGCCAGGCTGGTCTGGAACTCCTGACCTCGTGAGCCGCCCACCTCACTTGAGGTCAGGAGTTCCAGACCAGCCTGGCTAACATGGCAAAATCCCGTCTCTGCTAAAAATACAACAATTAGCTGGGTGTGGTGGCACACACCTGCAATCCCAGCTACTCAGGAGATTGAAGCAGGGGAATTGTTGGAACCCAGGAGACAGAGGTTACAGTGAGCCGAGACTATGCTACTGCATTCCAGCCTGGGCAACAGAGTAAGACTCCATCTCAAAAAAAGAAGAAGAAGAAGAAGGCACTCCAAAACAGGTGTAATAAATATGACAGTGCAAACCTATGTAACTCATCATTTCCTAATATGATAGCATGAATTCATTTTCACATTGATATATAAGATGTATTGACCAGTTTTCCAGAAAATCATATCCAAACCAGCATTACTCATGGTAAGTAGTCATTGAAACATTTCCAAACTAACCTGACAAAAATTGTCATGTAAACTTAAACAAAATTAGGATTATTTAGCCAGTGAAGGAAACCAATTTGTCTACATTAAGTGTCTTTTCCAAAAGAGTGTTTATTTCTGAGTTTTGTTTTTATTTTATGCTTTTAAAAGAAAGGAAGATGTGTAAATCTTGAATCTTATGCTTTAAAGTCACATATGTTCTCTATGTGTTCTTTAGTCAATGATCAAAATTTGGGGTCATAATTTTGATATGTGCCCTAAGAAGTTACTTTCCCCTTATTCACAGTTTAACATTGATATATTTTTAACTCATACTGAACTTGCTTCCAAAAAACATTCAAGACAGTAGTTTAAGATGAAATGTAAGAGAATTTTTGAAACTCAATCTTCTTTTCCCCTGCCAATTTAGAAAAAAAATTTTTTTTAAATCATCAGCATCCATAAAAACCATAGGAAAAACAAACAAAAATTGCTCATGGCAGTTTTAAATTTTTGTGTTTCTTAAAAAACATAAAAAATGGTTAATGTACATAGTACTAATATGGCAGGGAAAATGCTGTTCACAAAATCCAAAGGTTTGAAATAATGTATTTGTACTGTCTCCAAATTTAGCTAGGGTGTGTACATCAAAGAAAATAGATAATTTTTATTTCATAGGCCAAATCTAAACCTTTTAGTTCTAGTTCAATTTTCAATAATTCAATATCCATATCTTAGATGAAAACTGTTGTTTCTCAAAATCCCATTTTCTAATTAGACTTTAAAGTTAAAAATAAGTAAAATATATTTTAGACTATTTCCTAATGTTCTCTACTCTCCCTAAAATTGTTTTTATTAACTAGGAAAACAAAAGGTGTTACTATAATGGCACACATTTGATCTTCTACTACCTGAAACTTTCCCTAAGACTGTTCCAGCAAGGCAAGACTTAACTTCTGGGCTTCAAGTACTCAGGTTTTAAACAGAGCTTTTCACACAGAACTCAAAGAGTAGAATCATACCTCGACCTTCCTTGTCTTTAAGGGCCAGTGCAGCTACTAAACTAGACCATGATTCTCCCCGGTTAGGGAGGTGAAGCAGCAGGAGGAAGAACCCGAGGTGGACGTGTGGGAGCTGCTGAAGAACGCGAAGCCCAGCGAATACGAGAAGATCGCCTTCCAGTATGGAATCACCGACCTGCGCGGCATGCTCAAGCGGCTCAAGCGCATGCGCAGGGTGGAGAAGAAGAGCGCAGGTGAGCGCGCCCGAGGGGCGTGGCAGCGGGGCCGGGGGGCGTGGCAGCGGGGCCGGGGGGCGTGGCAGCGGGGCCGCGGCGGGGGGCGGGCATGGCAACGTTCGAAAGACTTGACCGTGAACTCTGGACCGTTGTCCCTCCGGTCTCCCGCGGGGTTGGGAGTGGCGCTGGGTAGGAGTGCAGGGGTTACGCTTGTCTTGGCGGACAGATTCATGGTCCACATACAACATAGAATGGAATAGTAAATTACCCTCACTGTTACTGGGAATTTCCCAGCCGCCCTCTTTCTCCAGCCTCCACGTCCCCCCTCGCTGTCAAATTCTTGATTTTTACTTAAGCAGAGTGGACTCGTTCACCATCATTTTCTTCCACCCATTTGATGGCGTGTGGAGAGTTCACTTTCTCACACCCAAAAAATGTTTTGTAAGACAACTAAGCAGCTCCCTGCGGGTCTGAAATGGGTCCGGTTTATTGTGGTCTGAAATACCTTTTTAAAAATGGAAAGGAAAAAAAAGAGAGAAAGGAATACATTTTACACTGACCATTAGCTCTTAGAAGCTTCCTATACTCGGTCATTGTTGGTTATGGGTTTTATGACCATCAGGTTAGCAATATATCAATTATTGTTTATTATTTTGTTTATTATTTTGTTAATGCTCAAATAGAATTTAAAGATATTTATCACCCCTTTTTAAAAATCTGCCTTTTATTTCCGAACTTCCTGGAAGCGGATTGAGAAATGGCCCCAGGTAAATGTAGAAAGGTTTTGTTTGGTGTATGTAGTTCAGCCATTCCCGCTATTCCAGAACTCCTGAAGCTATATTTTTGAGAGGTGTGTGAATGCCACAGGGGAGAGCCAGCTGACATCTCTTTTCCCCAGGCTAAGCTTTGTTATTCTTACCACTTAGCTCTGAATTTATCTCTTAAGATGTGTAATAGATAGGTTTTTTTAAAGCGAGGGTTTATTTTATCTTGTTAAAATATAAGAAAATGCGCTTGCCTGAACAATAGTATAATAAGATTGGAATGATAGAAATACAAGCATGACAACATGCAGCATTTCTCATTTGTATTTTCCAAACTGCTAAATGAGAATTATTATCTTTTAAAAAGCAGGGAAAAAAACTTATTAAATTAAAAAAAGAAGTTTACTACCTTTATTTAGGATCCTTCAAAGACAAGTTTTGTTTTTTTGTTTTTTTGTTTTTTTTTAATTGCTGTGTTCTATGTTATTTAAAATATTTGGAAATCCTGAGTTTCTAAACATATGTGCAAAAAGTGTTTTTTAAAAGCCACTATTTGGGCAAGTTACCACAGTATAAAAACTGGTAAACCTACTCTTTCAATTAGTCAAAGGCGTTCAATTTAATATGAATCACTGAATTTATCTTCTAAATTCTATGATTAAAAAAACTATCTGTGACATAGAAGAAGTGCAAAAATAAGGCCAATGACACTAATAGAAATTGTGCTGGAAGAATAAGCATGTTATTTTATTTTTATTTTTATTTTTATTTTTTTGAAACAGGATCCCACTCTGTCACCCAGCCTGGAGTGCAGCGGTGTGATCTTGGCTTACTGAAACTTCTGCCTCCTTGGTTCAAGTGATTCTTGTACCTCAGCCTCCCGAGTAGCTGGGATTACAGGCATACACCACCACACCCCGATAATTTTTTGTATCTTTAGTAGAGACAGGGTTTCCCCAGCCTGTTGACCAGGCTGGTCTCGATCTCCTGGCCTAAGTGATCTGCCCACCTTGACCTCCCAAAGTGCTGGGATTACAGTCGTGAGCCCCCACGCCCAGCTCTAGCATGTTTTTAAGGTTCACTTTCATTTAGACGCTTTATAGTGTACATTCCCTAAAGAATTAGGTCATTTTTAAAGCTTCTTCAACAATTCTTTTCCTATGTTTCTTCCAGAAACATGTGGATTCTCTTTTCAATTTTTAAACCATCTTATTGAATCTAAGTCAACACAATATTCTAAATATAAAGGGTAATTTGAAATGTTTCTGATTTTTTTCTTCTCTGAGATTCATTCTTTCATTTGTTTTTAGGTTCGCCTACACGTATTGACTATCCAAATTCACAGCATATGTATACATATATTAACATACTTTTGCTTCTTCTATCAGCTTTCGCAAAAATTCTTGATCCTGCATATCAGGTTGACAAAGGAGGCAGAGTGAGGTTTGTTGTGGAGCTGGCAGATCCAAAGTTGGAGGTGAAATGGTTTAAAAATGGTCAAGAAATTCGACCGAGTACAAAGTAAGTGGGCTTTGCAAAAATCAGTGATAGCTATACAGTAAATTAATCAAATAGTAGTTTGATTTAATTTTCTGAGAATAAAAGGATTTTTAATTATATTTTCATAATACAAAATCATATGGGGGAGAGTAAACATTCAAGTCACATTTTATGTGTTATGGAACTATTATAGTTCTATATGAACTAAACCTCATTTTGTGCTTAATTTTATAAAACTATCTTAAGTGTTTTCCAATTATGGTTTTGTGTTGCTACAGGTTAAATGTGATTATTTCAGAGTATTGTCAAATTTCTCACAATTTTTAAAAATAAAATTGAAAAATAATTTGCAATCCATATTTCATATGCCACCTGGGAATCACATCTTAGATGACTTTTGCTTTTCCAAAATAACAACTATATTTAATAATGGGTGAATACCTTCTATTTTCAATTCAGGTACTGTTTTGAGCACTTGCAATATTGCATCTAAAAGGAACTCTTTAATGTTGAGATACAACAAAATGCGGGTCTAAGCCTGTGTTTTATTATTTCTTGGCCCTCTCGCAAATGGAGACAGACTAAAGACAGTCTAATCCCTGACGTCTGATGGTATCTCCAGTTTATTATAAAACTACTTTACAGAGATCTTCTTAGCCTGAGAGATTTTCAACTCCAACATATTTTTTTAAGTTAACAGGAGCCACGTGTACATTTATAAAAGACGTTAATCCCGGAAAGCTGTTACTTCTGGAGTACAATTAGGTGGTTTCCAATTTCTTAATGTGGTTATGCCAATAGAGTGACTTTGTGATGATAGCGTTTATATCTGGTATAAAAAAATCTCTTGAAGACGGTCTGAAATTACCAAAAACATAATTTTTATTGGTTATCTTTATGTAGAAAATATTTTTAAATATCTTGTTCTTAAAGTCTTCAATTTGAGAAATTCTCAAACCAGATTTTGTTTCTGGTCTATTTTAATTCCATAATGTGCTCCTCCATAATACAGATCACAGAGACTTCTAGTTTTTTGTTTCCAAATCATCACATTCGTTCTTAGTAGATGGTAACTGTATGATAGCACCAGTTCTTAGGCTCATTTAAGAGAACATCACCTTCTATAGAACTGCTGTGTGTATTTATGATTAAGATCACATTAATGCTTAAATTGTATAATTATTTATTCACCCAAGGAAATCTACTATATCGCTGGGATAGGCAATGAATAGATCTTATTCATATATCAATGAATAAGATCAAGACTCCACCACCTGTAGAGTACATGAATTGATCAGTTAAAGAATGTACAGAGTTAAAAATCTCTCTAACACCCTCAGCCAACTCTATTTTCCAACAGTGCGTTAAAAAATTAAATAGGCAAGTACTGATTTTTATTTGAAATACGTGAGCACTGATTTTTATTTGAAATGAAAACCTTATGTAAAATAAAATTTTAATGGAAACTAAATAGTATATATAAATGTCCATATATATTATGTATTATGAAGATAAAAATTGGTTTTTTTGTTTGATGTTAAACTATGTAAGATATGATACCTAAAGAGCAGATCAAAATTATATCCCTGCTGGGCATGATGGCTCATGCCTGTAATCCCAACACTTCAGGAGGCTGAGGCAGGAACACTTAAATCCAGGAGTTTGAGACCAGCCTGGGCAAGATGGTGAGACTCAGTCTCTACAAAAAAAAAATAAATTAGCTGGGCCTGGTGGCCCACACCTGTGGTCCCAGCACATGGGAGGCTGAGGCAGGAGGATCATGTGAGCCCGGAAGGTCGAGGCTGCAGTTAGCTATGTTTGCACCACTGTATTCATGCCTGTGCAACAGAGCAAGACCCTGTCACAAGATAAAAAAATAATAGATCCCTGACTTTCAAACACTACCAAATTATAAACCAAATTTACTGGCAATAAAGAATAAAATCAGGGCCGGGCGCGGTGGCTCAAGCCTGTAATCCCAGCACTTTGGGAGGCCGAGGCGGGTGGATCACAAGGTCAAGAGATCGAGACCATCCTGGTCAACACGGTGAAACCCCGTCTCTACTAAAAATACAAAAAATTAGCTGGGCATGGTGGCGCATGCCTGTAATCCCAGCTACTCAGGAGGCTGAGGCAGGAGAATTGCCTGAACCCAGGAGGCGGAGGTTGCGGTGAGCCGAGATCGTGCCATTGCACTCCAGCCTGGGTAACAAGAGCGAAACTCCGTCTCAAAAAAATAAAAAAAAATAAAATAAAATAAAATAAAATAAAATCACATTCGCAGACTCTGTTTATTTTCCTCCTATTCAAAACAGATACATCTTTGAACACAAAGGATGCCAGAGAATCATGTTTATCAATAACTGTCAGATGACAGATGATTCAGAGTATTACGTGACAGCTGGTGATGAGAAATGTTCAACTGAACTCTTCGTAAGAGGTAAAAATGAAATTTCTTACTGTGGTCACCAGGCGCTGTTGGCTCCATCTCCCAGGGATGATGATCAAAGTGAAAGTAACTGAGACTCCTCTACACTGGCAGCTATCATGGATCCCAAGAGTCTTCTGGTTTGTTGAAGACTAGAACAGCAAAGGGGAGAAAGAAAACCTGTTGAGTACAAATGCCTCATGGTTTTGACTCAAGCCAAGCACTATTTTGCAAATATAATTATTCTAGCTATAGCTTTGAAACCCAACAGATTTTACTGGATAATCCTTGTTTCACATACTCAGTTGATTACAAATAGGTTTCTCCTGAAACCGGCTTCATTAATAAGTGATTGGCCCCAAGCACACTGAAAATCGTCAGGTACTAAGACATTGTGAAAAGAGCTGGAGGGTGTGAATGAAGCCATGTTTTGCTTATTTTCTTTATAAGGCCTTCTGATTACAGACAACTCTGAAATCTCTATCATCTATCTGGAACTAGGATCAAAGATTTGAGTTTTGTATATTCTCCTTCATCAGAAATGTCTATCACTTAGTGTCTTCTTTGTTAAAAGAATAATATTTGATATATGTTTTGTTTGTTCTTGAGAACAATAATTTATTTGACTTGGAGAACTATAAAAAAATTGGAAAAATTTACCCAGGCTTGCTAGCTATTTATTTTGCCAAGAACAGACATTTTAAGAAAAAACTCACAGCCAGGCACAGTGGCTCATGTCTGTAATACCAGAACTTTGGGAGGCTGAGGTAGGTGATCGCTTGAGGTCAGGAGTTCAAGACCAGCTTGGCCAACATAGTGAAATCCCGTTTCTACTAAAAATACAAAAATTAGCTGGCTGTGGTGGCATGCACCTGTAATCCCAGCTACTCGGGAGGCTGAGGCAGGAGAATCACTTGAACCCGGGAGGTGGAGGTCGTATTGAGCCAAGATCATGCCACTGCACCCCAGCCTGCGCAACAGAGCAAGGCTCTGTCACAAAACAATAACAAAAACAAAAAACTCACTGTTATCACCATGTCAACTATAGATGTTGCTTTCTTACCATTGGTTTTTCATCTGTTAACAAATCAGGGCTCATGGGATAGGCTTTGGATATTTAATGATTCTGATTTCCCCTTTTTGTATACTAGAACCTCCAATTATGGTGACCAAACAGCTGGAAGATACAAACGCTTATTGTGGGGAAAGAGTGGAATTAGAATGTGAGGTGTCTGAAGATGATGCCAATGTAAAATGGTAAATAGCCTTAATGAAGTCTGTCCATTTTTAATGGACAAAATTTGTACCTTCATAGTTGATAGAACAGGAAGTATGAATAGCTTTTAAACCTTTGAAAAGAATCTCCACCTCATCAGTAGAGATAACAAAGTATACTAAGATGCTGGGATTTTTCCACTTGTGAGACTGAAAAAAAACAACAGAAATCTATGTGGGTAAGGGTAGGGAAATGGGCACTTACTACTAAGTGGATGACTCAAGTTTACCCAAGTATGTATTTTTTAATTTAACCCCTAGTCACTTTATTTTCATAGTACCTCAGGGGGAAAATTTTACACTGAGAATCCCCAATTGCTTTTAGAAATAAGAGCTTATTTGTTTTGCTCAGTTGGAGAGTGTTTTCTCAGTTTCCTTGTGAGTAACCTTAAAATTAAAAACTAGAAATTTTAAATCTTAAAATGAAATGTTATGTTGAAAGGTATAGTAAATTGCAAAGCAGGATCTGTATTAATTGTTACATGTAGATTGTTCATTCTAATAGAGAATCATAGTTATCTTTAAAATGCGTTACGCGATATTCTTACTAGTGTGCTTCAAGAGCCTAAATGTGGGTAATATCCACTCTTAGCAGTTGCATCTGATTCATTTTGAGTGCAAACAGGTGGTTCGTGTTCTTTTAGCACAATTTTGTGGACAATATTTGTTACATTATGAATCTATTGATGGATACAGAGATTGATTCATACGTTTTTAAATTTAACAAAGAGTTATTGGGTGTCTCATATCTGCCAGAAATTCTTCAGGATCTTGCAATAAACTAGAGTGACAAGGTATTTTTCCTGAAGGATTATAAACCTTTTCTATATTCCATTTTAATTCAGGTTTAAGAATGGTGAAGAGATTATCCCTGGTCCAAAATCAAGATACCGAATTAAAGTCGAAGGTAAAAAACACATCCTGATCATAGAGGGAGCAACAAAGGCTGACTCTGCAGAATATTCAGTAATGACAACAGGAGGACAATCATCTGCTAAACTTAGTGTTGGCTGTAAGTGAGACTTCTTTAGATGTCTTCTAAGTGGGCTTACTAATGATGTGGTGTTTAGAAAATTTCAATATATTTTATTTCTACTTACAATGATTATAAGTATGTAAAATGGATTTCATTCTAGCTAAGTGTGTATGTCAGATCAATCAGGGTGTTTGAGGAAGGAACCACAAGTCAATTTAATAGTAGAGTACCAATATTAGGAAGGAAGTATAAAAATCACCTGCCAGAAAAGTTATAACCCCAAGACCATATAAATATGGGGTAAATACTTAGATGTGATATCATATCCTGATAATGTTTGCTATCTATTTATCAAATAAACATTCAACACTCTGTGATTACATTTAGTATGAGAAGAAAGTACTTTAAACCAAGGAGGCTCAATTGAGAAGATTTTAAGAGCAAATTTGCTAGTAGGCTTCAGAGGCATGAGAGAATTAATATACTTCCTTCAATGCCCTCTACTACTAGTCAGTTAGCAATGGCAGAATCTCTTCCAGTTTGCCATAAAAATTAAAACAGCAAATATCACAAAAAGAGAAGAAATCTTACTTCCTTATTTGTTGCTTAGTGTAGTTGCAATTCATATAATCATTGAATTATTCAGGAGCAATCCCAATACATTCCTTATGCTTTATGGAACTGTGGCCATTTTAGTTTAACACCAAGAAGTCTTCCAGTCATAAACAGATCCTTATCTGATGTGTATCCATTTAAAGCAATTACAACCAGTTCTGCTATGATGTAACATGTACATTTCTAAAAATAATTATGCTATGCAAATCATGCAATAAAAACCACAGGGTTTATAGGCGAAATGGGATTATGAGCACAACACTCAAGAATTTTGTATTAGTCTGTTCTCATGCTGCTAATAAAGGCATACCCAAAACTGGGTAATTTATAAAGGAAAGAAATTCAATTGACTCACAGGTCTGCATGGCTGGGGAGGCCTCGGGAAACTTACAATCATGGCAGAAGGGAAAGCAAACATGTCCTTCTTCACATGGCAGCAGCAAGGAGAAGTGCCAAGCAAAAGAGGGAAAATTCCCTTATAAAACCATCAGATCTCATGAGAACTCACTCACTATCACAAGAACAGCAGGGTGGGGGTAACCAGCCCCATGATTCAATCACCTTTCACCGAGTCCCTCCCATGACACATAAGGATTATGGGAACTACAATTCAAGATGAGATTTGGATGGGGGTACAGCCAAACCGTATCAGTCAGAGACATATTTTTTAAAATATAAAACTTAATAAGTAGTAGCACACTTTTACACATGCTAAATGGTTAATAAATATTATGATATATATGGCATTTAACATTGAAAAAGACCCAAAATTTGCTTATGGAAGTAGTGTTGGAAGTGTTGTGGCTTGAGAGCTATTGTGAAGCATTAGAAAGAGGATTATTCAAAATCAAATGGGTAGTTGTGACTTCAGCTGTAAATGGGCATGGCTTATATCACATGGGAGGAACTGACGTAGCTGATAGATGTTTGAGGTACGAGTCTGTGGATTTTGTGCATTCCTTACTGGCTCATTTCAGCTAGATGCAGTTTTCTGCATTCACCTAGTTTTTCTAAGGAATAAAATTGTTCATAATCAAATGTGAAATTATCCCCTAATAAATTAATTTTATTGGTACAACTTCTCACTTTCAAAACAAGCATAGTAGCAGAGCTCACTATACCATTGTGAAATGCCACCATCTTGGCCTGTTGGAAGTTTGGGCTTGGCATTTGTGTTGGTCTATCATTTCTACAGTGAAACCTCTGAAGATTTTGACACCTCTGACTGATCAGACTGTAAATCTTGGAAAAGAAATCTGCCTGAAGTGTGAAATCTCTGAAAACATATCAGGAAAATGGACTAAAAATGGCCTACCTGTTCAGGAGAGTGACCGTCTAAAGGTGGTTCACAAGGGAAGGTAAGCAAGCCAGGTGACCTGCAAGTGAGGTTTGACCCCATCTCTACTTTCTCCATTTTCTAAATTACACATTTGGTGAGGATGTTTGAAGGGTAGCCATAGGGAGATCATCAAATAGATCAGATTGTAGGTGATCCAATCTGATCACCTGTTTGGTGATCTATCAGATAGGTCAGCAAATCTGATCCAAATCAAATCCTCCACATCTGAAACTATCACACATACTAGCGAGAAGATGTGATTTCTCCGTTGTACAGCATGTCCTACTCCTAATCCTGTATCTGTACCTAATATTATGATGCTTTGTCTAATGCATTGACTCTTTTTCCATCTAAACATGAAGTTAGAGGTCAGGTACCATAGCTCATGCCTGTAATCCCAAGGCTGAGGCAGACAGATCACTTGAGCTTGGGAGTCGAAGAGTTCCTGGGCTACACGGCAAACCTTTTCTCTACAAAAAACACAAAAATTAGCCAGGCATGGTGGCATGTACCTGTAGTCCCAACTACTTGGGAGGTGGAAAGATGGCTTGAGCCCAGTAGGGGGAGGTTGAAGTGAGCTGAGATCACGCCACCGCACTCCAGCCTGGAGAATAGAATGAGACCCAGTCTCTAATATAAATAATAAACATGATGTTAGAGGAAAAATACGAATTCTAATTGAGGACCTGATCTAATGGATTAACTATCTCTAACCAATAAGCATCACAGTGCTTTCCCATAAATCTTTATTTGTGTAGGGGACATAATATCCTAGAATCTGGCAAAGATCTAAGGCGAGAGTTTAATTCTAAATTCGTGGACTTTTAGGATATCATAAATGGACTTAGGAAGACCCATAACTACTGTGAAATTGTGAGAAAATTCTGTGTGTACAAAAATACATACTTTTTACATAGAAAGGATTCATAGTGTCCATTAGATATTCACGGGTTTGTGATCCCAATAAAGTTAATAACTATTGTTCTTAGGGTTTGTCATATAAAGCCATAATCAAGATTATTCTTGGCAATCTCTTGAATCTTAAAGTATAGCATTATTGATATGTTCTATTTTAGCCTTTTTAAAGCTATGAGTTGAAAAAAGAATAATAGAATCTGCATACACAATAAACAGATTGTATTTGTGGAGATAATTCCATATTGTCCAAAATAAAGATTTAATTTAATTTATATCAATAAATAGGATAATTAAGGCTTCTAATCCTCTCTCCCTTTCTCTCTCCCTTTCTCTCCCCACTTTCTCTCTCTCTTTCTCCCTCTCCCTCCCTCTCTCTCCTGCACTAAAGACGTTAATCAGATAAAGGCCAAGTGTCTTTTCAGTTTGGGTCATATATAATTTAAATCTTTGCAGTCTTAGAAATTTGTTTTCATTGTTTCCTTAGAATCCACAAGCTAGTGATAGCCAATGCCCTCATTGAAGATGAAGGTGATTATGTATTTGCACCTGATGCCTACAATATTACTCTGCCTGCCAAAGTTCATGTTATTGGTAAGTAAATAAGTCATTGCATAGTTGTGTTCTTTTTTGTTTGCTTTTGCTTCCCATGGAATTATAATATATTCAAAACTAAGTGACATTTAAGGAAAAATACATCAATTGGTATTAATCACCAATCAGAACGATTGGTGATTAATACCAACACCTTGCAATAAAATTGTTTTGCAAGGTGCCGGGCACCAACTATCTTGACCCCTCCTATATTCTTTTTGATCAAATAAAATAGTGATTACTACCATGATACTATCCAAACATTAGTGGAGATATTCACACAGAAATGACTGTCTGATAACAAAGACCATGCTTAATATTCTAGATCCTCCTAAGATCATCCTGGATGGTCTTGATGCTGACAATACAGTGACAGTGATTGCAGGAAGCAAGCTTCGTCTTGAGATCCCTATCAGCGGAGAACCACCTCCTAAAGCCATTTGGAGCCGGGCAGATAAGGTTTGTTTTATGCATGCACACATTCACATGCACACACACATATGCATAGACACTGCCTGTCCCACCTCTTGCCCTCCATTAGTCAGATGAAAGGAGAAAATGAAAAAAGGTACAGCAGTACAGTACAGATGTAATTCCTTTGAAAAAGATGACTGGTTTTCAGGCAAATCTGATCATCATTAATTCACTTCTCATATTTCTGACTATTATATAGCAAAGCATATTTTTATGCACAGTGAACAAAGCCTCATTTTTATTCTAATGGGAATGGGGAGATGAAAAAGAAATAGACAATGAATTACTAAATAAATAAATGAACAAGGCCACATTGGATAGCAATGAATACCAGAAGATAATAAAAGAGAATGATATGGTAGCAAGTGACTGCATAGTCAATGGCAGCCTCTGTGAAGAGCAAGGAACTCATTATGTGAAGATCAATGAGAAGAGATTTCCAGGTGGAGGCGCTTACAAGTGCCAAAGCCAAGGGGAGAGAATGAGCCTGATGTGTTGGAGGAACAGAAGGAAAGCCAGCAAGCATGGCTGGGGCAAAGTGAATGATGGGGAGAAAGACAAGTGAGGGTGCAATGGTAGAGCAGTGCCAACTCAAGTGTGAGCCTCTCACTTTCTACAAAAATAAAAACAAAAACAAAGTTTTACATTTAAAAAGAAGACATGAGTCTGGGCACAGTGGCTCAAGCCTTAATCCCAGCACTTTGGGGGGCTGAGGTGGGCACATCACCTGATGTCGGGAGTTCCAGACCAAACTGAGCCTACATGGTGAAGCCCTGTCTACTAAAAATACAAAAATATTAGCCAGATATGGTGGTGTATGTCTATAATGTTAGCTACTCGGGAGGCTGAGGCAGGAGAATCGCTTGAACCCAGGAGGCGGAGGTTGCAGGGAGCTGAGATCACGCCACTGTACTCCAGCTGGGCAACAGAGCGAGATTCTATCTAAAAAAAAAAACACAAAGCTTAAAAAAAAAACCAAAAAACAGAGTGAGACGTCTACTTTCAGCCAGAATTGAATAACAGGGACTAGATTTACCTACTCACTTCAAATAACCCCCAAAATAGACATACTATATGAACAATGGTTTTCAAGACATTGGACATCAGATAGTGAAAGACAGTGACTATGAAATATGATAAACAAATGAAGTGAGCCCTATAATTGCCTCAAGTTTATTGCCATAGAAGAGTATCCAGACAGTGGCACAAGGAAGAAAACCTGGACAGAACCCAGTGGACTCCCTAAATTTAGGACTCTCATTGTACAAGGAGACCAAAGCAGCTAGAGTTCATTAGATACATACTATGTATACTGGAGGAGAGAGCAGAGCAAATGCCCCTGGAGCTCTGCAGAGGATCTCTCTCAAGTATTCAGCAAAGATCAGTTCACATTTATGAGGAAACTACCCAAGATCTAAGAAAGAACCATCTGAAAGGATTAAAGAGGACTGACACAGACACAAGGCCAATAGTAGTGCCTATTCCCCCTAGCTAGATGTGAAAACCTCATCATTCACAGTGCATTGAGTAGAGTACTCAGAAAGGCCTTGCCTCGATGGCAGGAACAATTAATCCTAGACTGAGCACTGTCATGGACCCACCTAAAAGTCATTAAAAACAAGCGTAAAAGATTCAATCAATTTCCAAACAACTTAATTGCATTTCAAAACAAAGCTGAAGATTTATATAGGAATACAAAAATATCAAGCACCCAACATGGCAAAATTAGCAATATCTTACCATCCAATCAAACATTATGGTAGAGAAATAAGCAGGAAAACACAGCTCAAAATGAGGAGAAAAGTCAGTTACAGCCAACTCAGATCTCACATGTAAATTAGATTTAGGAGTCAAGCATATGTAAATAATTGTTTTAACTGTATTCCATAGGTTCAAAAAGTTAGGTGGAGAAATGTTGAGCTCTCCATTTGAATTAAACAGAAAAAGTTAAGTGAAAAAAGTGATCAAGTGGAAAAACATAAAAAGATCCAAATCAAATCACCTGCAGATGAAAACAATAAAATGTCTCAAAAAAATATGGTAGATGGAATTAATGGCTAATTCGACATTGCAGGTGAATTTGAAGACATAGCAATAGAAATGATCCAAAATGAAACACAAGAGAAAAAGTCCAAAAAAATTTAAAGAATCAGATTTCCAGTTTTCATTCTGGCATGTAATCGCTTAGAAGTTGCCACTCTATCCAAACAACAAGCAAAAAGCTGGACAAACTGAAAAATCAGCAACTCCTTTTAGATATGTCAGAGAAGTGAGGATACAGGGAAAACTGCTGAAATATGAGAGTGAAGTCACACATTGAAAGTTTTCAGAGTAAAAACCCATCAACCTAGAATTCTGTACCCTCTGAAATTATCTTTCAATTATCTTTCAAAAGTGAAGGAGAAATAAAGACTTTCACAGACAAACAAAAATTTAGGGAATTTGTTGCCAATGTATCTGTCTTGCAAAAAGTGTTAAAGATCTTCTTCAGAAAAAAGGAAAATAACGTATGTCAGAAACTTAGATCTACGTAAAGAAAGAAAGAGTATCAAATAGTGAATAAGTGAAAGTAAACTTCATTTTTCACATTCTCAATTGATTTAACAAATAACATTTTGTTCAAAATGATAAAAGCAACGATATATTCAATTATGTAGCTTATATTTATATTTATGTATGTTTATATATAAGTGAAATGAATGACAGCAATAATACAAAAAATAGGAGAGAAGAATTAGGAATATTTTGTTATTTTAAAGTATGTGCACTACTTGTGAACCACTGTAGTGTTACTTGAAGTAAAGCTGGGTTAATTATAAATGTATATTGTAAGCTAGGGAAACCACTTTAAAAAGTTTAAAAAATATGAAGTACAATTAATATGCTAATAAAGGAGAGAAAATGAAATCACATAGAATGCTTAATTAAAACCACAAAAGGCAGAAAAAAAAATGTAGAAGACAATAATAGAGACAAAGAAGGGCAACCAATAGAAAACAATAACAAATATGACAGATATTGATCCAGCTATATCAATGTTTACTTTAAATGTCAATGTTCCAAATATACAAATTAAAAGCTCAAGATTGTCAGAGTGGAGCAAAAACATGACCGAAAGATATGCTGACTATAAGAAACCCACTTTAAATATAAAGTTGCATCCTTAAACGTATAGAGCTGGAGAGAGACATACTGGGCTAAGACTAAACAAAAGAAAGTATGAGTAACGATATTAACTTCAGACAATGCAGACTACAAGGCAAAGACATTTATCTGGAATAAAAAGGAGGATTACATAATGATAAATGGGCCAATACTACAAGAAGGCATAATAATCCTTAACATGTATGCACCTAACAACAGAGCCTCAAAATATATGAGACAAAACCGATAGAATGGCAATGAAAAATAGATGCATTCACTATTATAGTCAGAGACTTCGACATTCCTCTATCAGAAATAGAGATTCAGCAGACAGAAGATCAGTAAGGACATAGCTGAACTCAACAGCACTATCAATCAATTGTACATAACTAACATCTATAGACTACTTCATCCAATAGCAGCATATTACACATTCTTTTCAAGCACACATAGCATATTCACCAAAATAGACCACATTCTAAGCCATAAAAACACCTTAATAAATTTTTAAAAATAGAAATCATACAATATCTGCTTTCAGAGACAATGGAATTAAACCAAAAATAAATTACAGAAGTGAGATTAAAAATAGATGAATAACAGAAAAATAGCTGAAAATCCCTCAAATTCTTAAAGATTAAACAACATACTTCAAAGAAGACATCTTAAAAGAAAATTTAAAATATATTGAATTAAATGAAAATGAAAACACAACATATCAAAATTTTTAGGATGCAGTAAAAGCAGTGTTTAGAAGGAAATTAATAGCAATGACTGAATATATTTAAAAATAGGAAAGGCATAAAACTAGTAATCAAAGTTTCCATCTTAGAAAACAAGAGAAATAAGAATAAATTAAATTCAAAGTAAACAGATAAAAGACATGATGCAAATTAGAGCAAAAATAAATGAAATTTAAAACAGGAAATTAATAGAGAAAATTAACAAAAGTTGGTTCTTTGTAAATATTAATAAAATTTATAACCCTCTAGCCAGGCTAACTAGAAAAAGAAGAGTCAAGACTAATTAACGGAAATCAAAGAGGGACATTACTACAAATCCCATTAACATTAAAAAGATAGTTAAGGGATATTATGAACAACTCTATGCCCATAAATTTCACACCCTAGTTGAAATGGACCTACTCCGTGAAAGATACAATCTTCCAAAATTCACACAAGAAGAAACAGGCAATCAGAAAAGGATTATATCTCTTAAACAAATTGAATCAATAATTAAAAACCTTCCAAAACAGCAGGTAACAGGCCGCAATGGGTTTGATGATAAATTCTACCAAACATTTAAGGAAGAATTTGTGCCTTAATCTCTTTCAGAATACTTCCTAATTCAATCTATGAGAGCAGCTTTATCCTAATACCAAAATCAGAAAATTTCAGACCAATATCTCTCATAAACAGATAGAAAAATCCTGAATAAAACATTAGCAAATCAAACCTAACAATGTATAAAAAGAATTCTACACCAAAACCAAGTGGAACTTATTCTAGGTATGCAAGCCTGGCTCAAAATTTGAAAATCAATTAATGTAATCCACCACATCAACAGGCTAAAGGAGAAAAATCACATGATTCCATCAATGGATGAATAAAGAATCTTTGACAAAATGCATGATGAAGACTCTAAGTGAAATAGAAATACAGGGAAATGTCTTCAATTTGATTAAAAAAAATCTACCCCCCAAAAAAAACAAAAACAAAAAAAACCAACAGCTAAAGTTACACTTAACAATGAGAAACTTGATGCTTTCTCACAAACATCAGAAATAAGGCAAGGGTGTACCCCTCTCATTACTGCTTTTTAACATTGTACTGGAAGGCTTA